TGAAATTCTTAAGAACAAAGAAAAAAACGCTAGAAAGAAAAATGGCAACATATGCTCTTTCAAAAACGTAACTGATGTTAAATTTAAAAAAAAATTACCTTTTTTGAAATTTTTTGTTCCATGATTTTCTCTATTCAGTTATTAATTATTTGTATTCTTTCAAATTAATCAAAATAAAATAAATACATAACTCAATCCTTAACAAATTAAACTATTGACATTTTAAATAAATAGTGAAACTATTGCTAAGGAGTTCCATTAAAAGCTAAGAATATTGCTGTTTTGCAAATTTTCCCTAAATTAATTATGTAAATAAGACATACTTTGTTCAAGTTCACATTTAATATTGACGTCGTATTCTCGAAAACAGCCCACTTAGTTCTCAACTAAAAACTAAATTCATTCACAATTTCATTTTGATATCAACAACCTTGAGATTCTAAACATAACTCAAGGCTCCTATATCGATTAGCTCTCACAATTCAACATTTAAGTAACCATCAACTATGGTTCTAGCATGACAACAAACTAAGACAATTTATTCTCTTCTCTAACACCGTGTCAGTTATTACGTCAAACTCTTTAGATGACTCATTGTCACATTTGTTTCATATCATACGGCAGGCACCTATGCGCTGCCCATTTCATTTTTTTCTCCAATATATCCTCGTGAATGTTAACTTAAACGAAAGTCACTTCCACAAACTTAACTGAAAATAGCATATCCATTTGCTTTTGAATCTGGAGAGTTGGGGGGACAAAAAAAGCTGAAAAACCTGCATACCATCTTTGTTACTCCCTCCTTCCTAGTTCCTAATAATTGGTCTTCCATACGGATTGAGAATCCAAAAAATTATTCTTTTCCAGTAACACCAAAATAAGGAATATAGTTTCTGCAATTAGACACTACTCAAACATCTAGAAATGTAAGGGTAGAAGTGGGGTTAGAAGATAACAAACTTAGCAAAAGTTGCAACATAATTCATGTAAATTTATTTTGCTCTTATAGTGCTATTTATCAATTCAAATTTCAGCCATAGCCACTTAATTTAATGTTGATCTCGGGCACCAAGAAAGATAGCTCATTCAATAAGAATACCACGATGCTGACTATTACAAATTTCATTCACAATTCCTTTTAATCTAATTCAGATGACAAAGAACTTGAGAGGAAAAATAAAATGGAAAAAATGAGACTACAACAAACTGAATGTTAAATAAATAATCTATATGCAACAAAATTCAAAAATAACACATGACTGACACAGAAGACTACAAAAGTTATCTGATGCATTATCAGATAATAAAGCTATGTAAATTTTGATGATAAAAAAATAATCATATCTTCACCGAAATGATAGAAAATGAAAATCGTAAGAGTGATTTTTCCATTGAATTTACTGGAGAAACATATAGGAAACTAATATGACATAGAATGGGATGTTGCTTACCAATGTACCAACAAACAAAAGGGAATGGGGGAATTATTAATTAATCTACATTCTCGTCTAATTAGCGTGTGAAATAAGAGGACGTCATTTGAGATAGATTGGAAAAATCAATAACATATAAAATTTGAAAAAATGAGGAAACAAAACTTATTCCGACCAAATGTAACTAAATTGTAGTGCTTGTCTTTCAAGAATAGATGCATGTTTGCCTGTACAATACATAAATCTGATGGACTACCCTTTGCATTGGAACAAATTAAAGGATGATTAATTGACTAATATTTTATTAACTTTTTTGTTGGTGTGAAGATTCAGATTCAATAACTGATGGCACTATCCCCACCTTGCTTGTGCTGAGCGGCTTCACCTTTTTAGCGTTTCTCTAGTTAATGCTTGACGGGAAAACATGTTCCTTTTCTATGTAGGATAGAACTGTTAGAGTTTATCCGGATGACTTCCTCAGCAGAATACGGAATAGTCTATTCGACTATATCTGTTGTACATGATTAACGCATAGTAGCTGGTGCTGAAAACAAAAAGAAAAAAATTGTATCCCTCCGTTTCACAAAGAATGACCTGGTTTGACTTGGCACGGAGTTTAAGTAAATAAAGAAGATTTTTGAATCTTGTGGTTCTAAATTAAAGTTATGTCAAATGTACAAAATTGTCTTTTAATCTTGTGGTCTTAAACATGTCACGTGGAAAGCAAAAAGTAAAATGTTACCAAAAAAGGAAAGAGGTCATTCTTTTTTAAACTGACTAAAAAGGAAAGGAGGTCATTCTTTGTGAAACGGAGGGAGTAACATTTAAATATCTTATGAGAAAAAGTTAGTATAAATATTTATAGGCGTTTACATGGTAGGAATGATTCAACTGGCTGCACAACTGTGGCAGAAATAGCCAAACAAACATGTATAAAGTATGCTGATATGTATAAATAAAGGAAACCTTGACATAGGTTGTGCCAAATATGTCTTCTACTGTCAAGGAGAGGAATTTTTTAGCTAGATCACCAGAAATACATGTTGTTTTCGAGCTACTAGCAACAATAAGATCAACTCGGAAGGTACAACTGGAACCATAGTGAGTTAATACTTAAAAATATTGCACGTATATGCTCGATTTTGTCGAAATAGAATTCATGTGTATGACATATCACAATGCTAAGGCACTAAAGTTGTCTATCATTTGCACTTTGTGCATTCAAACTGCCTTCTATCTTTTGTACGCCTTTTCTTTTTGCAACCCAAATATTTCAGTACACAAAACTTTTCGATATCATTTGATATTAGCATTTTTACCATAATGTAGGGAACTCCAGTTGCAGAGGAAAATGAAAATTACGTCTATATTACTCTATTCCATGAATAAGCTGAGCAAGTGTATATATCTGTAAAACTCATAGAAGTTTGTGATGTAATTTATGCAATGGGGATAACCTTTTGGTAAACAGAAATCACGATGAGAGGAAATGGATATCTACTTCTATTTATTACAGGAAATGGATGCATGATTCATGATTTTCGTTCCTCGTGAATCATGATTTTTGCAACCTATGAGTCATATATTTTTTTATTGTATATATATCTCAAAAAGAATATCATATTTTTTTATTTTGAATTTTTTTAAAACAATTACTTATTTTATATTTAATGAGATGAGTTATAGTCATGTAAATATTTGTAGTTTGTTTTAGATTATACAAGTTTCAGAAATATTTCATTCTTTTTTAAAATTTGTATCGTTCAGTCAAACATCGGCACATAAATTGAGATGAAGGGAGTAACAAGCAAAATTATTTGGCGAAACAAACACTTATAATGCAGCTTGTTTGCAACAAATTTTACAGTGACAGAAAATAATCTACAATCACAAATAAAATATGAAGTAACATGATTTTATTGATAAATAGTGCGGGTATAATTCTGTT